CACGCTTGCTTTGCCTTACTGAACGTTTATCCTTTGCCTGCTCCCACCGCCTCACGCATGAACACTGCCTCTGCTCTGTTGACGTTAACAGAAAGCTTCGGCTGCTGTTGGCACAGCTGTTGACGAGCAGTGTTTGCAAGGTGTTGAGTACAGTTACTTTGAACTGTTTTACATATCGCTGACTGTGGGACAAAAGGATTTATTTAGCTAATTTGTATTTTTGTGTATTGTTTTCTTTTTGGTTTTGTTTGCCACTTGACTGTTTGTTTGTTTGGTTACAAGTTGATCTTTAGTGAATTGTTAACAGAAGTGTAGTTTTCATTTCCTCATTTTATTATCTTTATAAATTTGATTGTGTTTATTCATAATTTCATTGCTTTTCATAGTCAACTTTGGATGATTTATATCATTGGAGAAAAAAAAGTAATTTTGTTTGATTTAGGGGAATAACTCCCCACTAATTTTTTTTTTTTTTTTGGCTTCCCCCTTTCAGCAGCTGAGGGCCAATGGTGGTGGGACTGGTGTCGATGGTGTGGATGTCCTTCCTTTTCGTTTTGGTTTGCTGTGTTGTCCAATCCTCGGTGTGGCTGATTCACCATTGTCTGCATGCTGTGTGAGTGCGATTTTACACGTATGACTGGGGTGACCCCTTCTGACACCTCCCCATCTTCACTGGCCCATTCCCACTGGTAGGCACTCAGTGCTGAAAGCCCCCCTGCCCCCCTTCAATTAATTTGTTTCCTGAAGTCTACATTTTATATAGTACATTAATCGTATTTTAAATTTTGGATAATTGTTTAATAAAAGAAGTGATATATTTTTGAATGCAACCACGTCTTTCTGCTCCATCTGTATAACATACCTGTGTGCTTGTTCTGTTAATATACAGAAGTAAATCAAATCTCCAGGTGAAATTCCTGGGTGGCGTTGTCGGAAATCTTCAATCCTAATTACAATAAATTTCTTATACTTACTGTCCAACTACTTATCACATTCCATTACCAACTCTTAACCCCTTGTGCTGCCACATTCTAGCGTTGTCGGCAGGATATACTTGTTGAAAGCAGAGATGTGTGTTCCATTGCTAGTTTTTTTTTGTATTTTCCTCCTTTTATCGTGTGTTCACATGACTACTGTATGAGTGGTTGTTCTAAAATTGGTTCAGAAGCAAAGCAGCAGTACGTTTCTGGTAGTCCTGTGGTGAGTGCCAGTGAGGATATATTTTTTTTCCTTCTCGTTTTTTTGTCGTTATTTGGCCAAATTGCCTTCTCACACCGTTGCCTTCTTGAGTATAGGGTCTCCCTTTAAAGTAGGGTTTAACTATGGAGGGAGAATTGCAGGAGTTGCGGGATGTAGTCGTACAGCTTAAAGCAGATAATGAGAGGTTGCGACGGGAGCAGAGTGCGGGCTCAGGGCCAGAGTGCGGCACCTTCTACGTCTTCTGCGTTGCTCAACAATCCCACTGTCACCCCTGTAGAGAGGCTAGTTTTTGTGCCCCGCAATAGAAAATGTCCCATGTTTAGGGGAACGTCGGGCAGTGGTTTGACGGAGTGGCTTGAGGAAGTGCAAGCTTGTATGAGGGCACGCCGCTTAACTGCATCCGAGCAGGCATACTTTCTGTTTGATCACTTGGAAGGTGAAGCACGGGAAGAAATTAAGTATCGCTCTGCCAAAGAGCGAGGGGACCCAGGCAAGGTAACTGCTGTATTAAAGGAACTGTATGGTTGCTGTGAATCTTATATAGCCCTACAGGAGGCATTTTTATCTCGTTGACAGCAGGACGGTCAGACTCTGCAAGAGTTCTCCCTTGCGTTAATGAGCCTTATGGCGGCGGTGAAACAGCGTGCGCCTAGTGATATGCCAAATTCTGAAACTTTACTGCGCGATCAGTTCACTGAGTATGTTCTTGATTGTGCACTTCAACGCGAGCTTAAACAGTTTGTGCGCATGTAACCAACTGCGACTTTACTTGAAGTTCGCGGCGAGGCAATCAGGTGGGAGCATAAGGGTATGCCGCCAACTACTTATCACATTCCGTTACCAACTCTTAACCCCTCGTGCTGCCACAGTAGCAGTATGACACAAGTTGCTAATGAACTCACTAACTCCATGGTTCATGTAACAGCGTGGTTAAAGCAATGCTGTTTACAACTAAATGTGTCGAAAACAGTACGCATGTGTCACAGACTGTTTTTATATACTTGATTCACTTTGCATGTTTTTACCCTTTTTTAGTGTGGTTTTATTATATTTGTATTTAACTTATATTTGTATATGGTTTAGTTATTTATATTTGAATTATTTATTGCATGGTTTGTGTATTTTATGGGGTTTGTTTTTACTTCCTGGGTTGTGGATCAAGTGATGGGACTAATGAGAGACACCTGTGACACACCACCGCTGATGAAGATTGGTGGATGGGAAACTGGGTACTTGTTTTTAAGAGGAGCATGGACAGGTGAAGGGGGACGGGGAAAGGCAGAGGACAAGAGACACACGCGAGCCAGGACAATGACCAGCACACACTGGATCACGGAACAGAGGCTGCGGAACAGAAACGGCTGCAGCAGGTACCCGAGACAGCAAGACGGGAGTGTGGTTGAGAGGAACATGGAACTGACCACAGAAGGATGGGTCCGACCGACGCGGTGACACTTGGTTCAACGCCCACCATACGATAAGTAAAGGAAAGCGAACCAAGTTAGCCTTCCTGTGTGTGTGCGTGCTGCCCATTGTTGAAAAGTCAAACACTGCAAGTAGATTACTGTTGTCTTCCCACAGCGCTCGGGTTGGGAGGATTCAGCAGGATTGGCAGGGCTGGAGCAGAAGACTCGACGGCCACAGGAGCCCCTTTCCCCCCTTGCAGACTCTCAGACTTTAAGTACTCTGTTCCCCTTTCTTTTACTACTTATTTTCCTCCAACATAGACGCCCCCATCAAAGGACACCTATTGTGTTATTTTACCCTTGGTTTTAATTCCTCCATTTTTAAACCTGACTTTGATCCTGGTTTTTAGTATTTTAAATAAATCATTTAAATTGACTGACTGTAGCTGTTTTTATGTAATCTTTTAACAGTGGTAATAGTTGCAGGTATATTCAAGAACCCCACACCTTTGTGTGACATTTTAATTTGGCGTTGCTGGCAGGATACCAGCTCCACTGTTAAAAAATGGACATGGCCTAGCAGAGTACTGCTAATGTACCCATAAATGCACATTTTGTTATGCCATGGTTTATGGGGGCTGCATGGATTCCTAAATTTGATGGTGAAAAAGCTAAATTTGTAGAATGAGGGCTCAGGTGGAAGCCATGCTGAGGGCACAAGGGCTGAGCCAGCAACAGCAAGCTGATTTTGTCCTGGGTGCTCTAGAAGGAGAGGCTAAGCGTGAGCTGCCGCTAATTGCTCCAGGGGACAAAGACACAGGTAAAAAAGTACTGGACATTTTACAAAGACTTTATGCTAAACCAGCCACAAAAGCGCAGTTGTGAGCTATTTTTTTTTAACTGCAAACAGAGGCCTGAAGAAGGTGTGAGTGCTTTTATACTGCGGTTGCGAGAAATGTTTTTCAGATGGCAAGAGCAAGATGGAAACAACACAGAAGAGGGTGAAGATCTTCTGTTGGACCAGCTGATGGTCGGGCTACAACCAGGACCAGTGAAGCAGGAACTGAGTAGGCAACTGTGACGTAATGAGAACATGACCTTCGCTGATGCCTGTGAGGAGGCACGGGCCCTGGGCCAGGAGCTGCAAGATGGTGAGTCGGCCATTTTGTCTCAGAGAGTTGCAGTCCCAGCCCTACAGAGTACATCTACAGTAGACCTGGAGAAACTAAACGGCCAGATACAGGCTGAGCTGCAAACAGACCTGATGGGGGGAAATGAGGAAGGAGCTTGTGGGACAGATGAAAGCCCTCTCAGCTGATCTAATGGAGGGAGTGCGAGCACAGCTCTCAAGCAGGGAAGTGTTTCCAGCCTCCAGAGCCCCAGTCATGGACCATCAGGCTGGCGACAACAAGCAGGCACAGCAGAACCAGCCTACCAATGGGATGCACAGGGCCGACCACTCTGTAGAAAGTGTGGGGCTACAGGGCATGTTCAGCGACAGTGCCCCCAGAGGCCATCGAGGCCGCAGGATTTTTTTATCTCCCCTACAGCTGAGGGCCACGCAGGGGGGGCAGTCACGGAGGATGAAGAGCCCACAAAATTAGCAACCCAGCCGAAATCTGCCTTGGTTGTTGAGTGCCTTGATGTTGTTGTAAAGATGAATGGATGTTCTGTACCTTTTGTGCTTGATACAGGCTCTCAAGTCACCCTGCTAAGCCAAAGCTTGTTTGCAAAATGTCTGGGAGGAACTGGTGTGACCAGTGCTGATAGAGTCCCTTGGCTGACACTCCGCGCTGCCAATCAATCAATCAATCAATCAATTTTATTTATAAAGCCCAATATCACAAGTCACAATTTGCCTCACAGGGCTTTACAGCATACGACATCCCTCTGTCCTTATGACCCTCGCAGTGGATAAGGAAAACTCCCCAAAAAAACCCCTTTAACGGGGGAAAAAAAACGGTAGAAACCAATGGCCTTAAGATTCCCTACATTGGCTATACTCTGGTCAACTGCCTGGTAGGAAGAGTTCATGTTCCTGGAAAGGGTGTAATAATTGTCAATGATGAATGCTTGGGTCCAAACAAAGGCATACTTGGCATGAACATTATTCAAGCTGTGTGGTCTGCTCTCACTCAGGGGAATCACCCAGGGCTGTCAGCTTTCAAAACCACCATGCCTGCTTTTGAAGGGCGGGTCTGGGCCCAAGCTTTTGAAGAATGCCAGCAAGTTGCCACCAGTGTACCTCTCCCACCTTACCAGGGTGTGGCAAAACTACCACAACAACAACCAGTCATCATCCCTCCACACTCTGAGATGATTGTTTGGACACAAGTATCTGAAGGTGTGACTAACCAGTCTTGTGATGTGATTGTGGAATCTCTCCCTGACAGTGACACTGAATGGCGTGTGGGTCGGACGCTAGCCACACTAAATGGAGGATGAGTGCCCTGCAGGATCTGCAATCCCAACCCTTACCCGGCAGGGTGAGGAATTATTGTCTATCTGTTTGTTATTCGTTGTTTTACATATTATGACTTCTGTGTTCCTGTTTTTGTTTGTTATTTGTTGTTTTATATATTATGACTTCTCTGTTCCTGTTTTTGTTTGTTATTTGTTGTTTTATATATCATGACTTTTGTGTTCCTGTTTTTGTGTTTTTTAATGGCCTGTCTTTTTAACATCATGCCGGAGGACTACAGTTGAAAATTAGCCTTTGGCTAACACTGGCACATTTACAGCAATGTCCATTAATGTGCACTGTCCTCTAAATAAATAAATAAATTAAGTGTTTGAGGTGGCTAAGACCGACATACAAGGAGAACAGGAGGTGGTCCTCAACAGTGTGGAGCCAGACGTTGTGGAAGTATCGGTAAGGCGGGTAGAGGTTACAGAGGGAGAAAATGAGATGGAGATGGGCTGACCCCCCACCAACAGAATGAAATGACCAGCCTGCTGCAGAGGTGGAAGAAAGCGTTTTCAAGTCACGATAAGGACTTCGGCTGCACTGGCATTGTGAAACATCAGATACCTACTGGTACAGCACCACCAAGCCGTGAGAGGTATCGACCCGTTCCTCCAAGCCTCTATGCTGAGCTGCGAACCCTGCTGCAAAATATGCTTGACAGTGGTGCTCCCATCGTGCTTGTAAAGAAAAAGGATGGGAGCTGGAGGTTCTGTGTTGACTACAGAAAGCTGAATGCGCTGACTCACAAAGATGCATATCCCTTGCCTTGTACTGAGGAGTCACTGACTGGGCTCAAAGCTGCAAAATGATACTCCACACTAGATCTCGCAAGTGGCTACTGGCAGGTGGAGATGTAGGGGCGGACTGGCCATCTGGAGGTTCTGGAGAATCACAGAACAGCTGGTACTCACCGTTGTTTTTTTTTGTTTGTTTGTTTGTTTTTTCTCCCTGATAATCTACTGTTCCACGTCCAGTCCGCTAGGTGGCAGCCTTTAAATTGGATGCCAGTCGGCCCATAGATATCTGTGAGCCGGCCGGCCGCCAATCAAATTGAAGAAGAAGGAAGCGCATACCGTATGCGCACCGGTTGTTGTGGGCTGGGCCGAGTCAAAGTCCATGGCTGTTTTTTAGTCCCAGTCCGCCCCTGTGGAGATGGACCCCTCTTATAGAGAGAAGACTGCCTTCATCACCCCCTTTGGCCTTTACGAGTTCGAACGGATGCCATTTGGTCTGTGTAACGCCCCTGCCACGTTCAAACGGCTGATGCAGAGCTGCTTTGGGAACATGGTAAATGAATCATTGTTGATTTACTTGGATGATATGGTTGTGTTCTCCCCTGATTTCAGCAGTCACGTGCGCCACCTGGAAGAGATGTTCAGTCGGCTCCATCAGCATGGATTGAAGTTACAGCTGAAAAAGTGTCGCCTGTTCCAATGAGAGGTCACTTAGCTGGGACATGTCATCAGTGAGAGGGGAGTGGGTACTGACCCAGCAAAGACAACTGCAGCACGAGACTGGCCAGTGCCCTAGACGGTAAAGCAGGTAAAATCCTTTCTCGGTTTTGCTAGTTATTACCGCCGATTCATACCTGCCTTCTCCAAAATCACAGCACCACTGCATGCTTTGACACACAGTACCAGTCATCAAAAGTCTGCCCTGATCAGCTGGTCCCCAGAATGTGTAATTGTAGTTTCATTTTCTTTGTGTATTCTTTGTGTTTTTAAACTACTTTAGATGTCTAGACCTCTTAACCTCCCACCCAGATACAAAATCCTGCAGGATACACCAGGTGTGAAACACAACCTAGGGGGTCGGAGCCAATACTTGCAGCAGACAAAAGAGTGTCAAAACACTGGGTAGGGGCACCGCTCCCTGCCGCAGACAGAAGGGTGTGAAACACATCCTAAGAGGCGGTCCTCAGGTATAAATGTTTAAGCTTTCCCATGCTCGGGGTCTTTCTTCATTCTGACCGCTCGTGTGCTGATTGACCTTTTCTTTGCAAAGAAAATAAAAAACCTTGTCGGCCGGCAGAAGTCTCTATTTCATTATTCACCAGCAGCAGAGAATTTCCACAACAAATGTCAACAGGCTTTTGATCAGTTAAAGTAGGCCTTGATAAATGCACCTATCCTGGCATACACTGACTTCTCCCTCCCATTCAGGCTGTACACGGATGCCAGTTTTGACGGTCTGGGGGCAGTACTGGCACAGGTACAAGGGGGCAAAGAGAGGGCAATTGCCTATGCCAGCCATAGCCTCCACCCATACAGACGCAACGACCAGAACTACAGCTCCTTCAAGGCTGTTGGCCTTGAAATGGGCGGTTACAGAGAAGTTCAAAGACTATCTCTATGGTGTAGAATTCACTGTCTTTACAGATAAAAACCCATTGGTCCATCTTGACACAGCCAGGCTTGGAGCAGTGGAACAGCGATACAGGTATACCATGAAATACTGCCCAGGTACCCAAAACAGAAATGCTGATGCTTTGTCCAGGTTGCAGGAGCAGAGGGAGGAAGTGGCGCATGCAGATCAGGTCACAGTGGAGGGTGATGACACATGGGGGGAACGTCAGGCCCGGGACCCGGATCTGGGTGAGACCCGGGTCCCGGGCCTGATATTCAGTTCTAGTGTAAAGCCAGATGTCTTTGTAGCAGGAGAAAGGCTACAGATTGTATCTGAATACAAGTACCTCGGAGTTCTGATTGACTCTAATCTCTCTTTCAAGGCACAGGTGAAAAATGTCTGTAACCGGGTCAAATTCAATATTTCAATCTTCAGGTTAACTCGACAATTTATGTCAACAGATGCAGCTAAGATTAAAAAAAGTGAAGATTTAAAAAAGGGACCTGCATGTAATATTTTTAGATCTTGCAAATGCATTTGGTTGAGTACCGCATAGCCTCATTTGGAGTGCGTTTGACTACTTCAAAGTGCCACAGGTAGTTCTTAACTTAGTGAAAGCATATTTTCAGGATATTAGGTTGTGTCTAAATACGGCAGGTTTCACAACAGGTTGGCAGAGGCTAGAAATAGGTATTATGCCAGGGTGTACAGTTTCTCCATTAGCATTTACTATGGTGATGGAAGTAATCATCAGGGCTTCTAAGTTGGTGGTAAGTGGGGGGAGACTGCAGAACGGGTTGCATCTTCCACCAGTTAGGGCTTACACGGATGACATGACACTGGTGACCACAACAATGCCATGTACAAAGAGGCTGCTAGAGAAGGTAAATAAGAACCTCAAGTGGGCCAGCATGAAGATCAAGCCTGGTAAGTCTAGAAGCATCTTGATACGGGAAGTTAAGTGATAGGAAATTTGTCATAGATGATGAGGAAATCCCAACAATTAGGGAAAAGTCAGTAAAGAGCTTAGGTGGGTGGTTGAATGATGAGGAACAGATGGTGAAACTGGCTGAAGGATTGGATAGAATAGATAAATCAGAACTTCCAGGAAAGTTGAAGTTGTGGTGTTTGCAGTTTGGGCTATATCCTAGATTAATGTGGCCATTGTCAGTTTATGAAATTCCAATATCCATTGTGCAGAGAATTGAAAGGTTGGTTAGCTCCTATATTAGGAAGTGGTTGGGCGCTCCTAGGTGCCTCAGTAGTGTTGCATTGTATGGAAAAGGGAAACTTCAATAACATTCAATTTCAATGCTATGTGGATGACACCCAGCTCTACCCGTTCCCCTTCCCCCCAGGTTAAGAGTCTGGGTGTCATCCTTGACATCACCCTATCATTCCAGTCCCACATCAACAATGTCACTTGCTCAGCTTACTTCCATCTACCCAACATCCCACGCCTGCGCCTGTCCCTCACATCCAACAGTACTGCTATCCTGGTCCACACCTTGGTTGCATCCCGTCTTGACTACTGTAATTCCCTTCTTTTTGGTTTACCAGACTAGCCCATCCATAATCTGCAACTGGTTCAAAACTCTGCCGCCAGAATTATTTCCAGAACCCCCTCTTCTAGTCATATTATACCTGTCCTGCAGCAACTCCATTGGCATCCAATCAAATACCGCATCACTTATAAAATCCTACTTCTCACCTTCAAGGCCATCATAAACTTTGCCCCTCAGTATCTTGCTGAGCTCCTTCACATTAACATACCCAGCCGCACTCTCAGGTCTTCCTCCTCCATTCAACTCACCCTCCCACCTGCTCGCTTATCCACCATGGGGTCGAGAGCCTTCAGCCACTCGGTCCCCCGCCTCTGGAACTCTCTACCGCAGGACATAAAACACTCGGACTCTGTCACCTCCATGAAATCCCGTTTCAAAACTCACCTTTTCAGACAGGCATACTCCCTTTAATCTGGACTGGAATGACCTCACTGTTGCACTTTACTGCTGTTTTATGTATTACGTCATTATGTATTGAGTTTTTTGATTGTCATGTTTTATTGATTATCAGGGCCCAAGCACTGACCGAAGGCTGGGTGAAGGCCCTATTGAAACTGAAGGAATTATTATTATTAGGGCCCGAGCACCGACCGAAGGCCGGGCGAAGGCCCTCTTGAAACTGAAGTAATTATTATTATTAGGGCCCGAGCACTGAGCAGTGCGAGGACCCTATTGAAATGCAAGGATTTATTATTAGGGCCTGAGCACCGACCGAAAGCCGGGCGAAGGCCCTATTGAAACTGAAGGAATTATTAGGGCCTGAGCACCGACTGAAGGCCGGACGAAGGCCCGATTGAAACTTAAGGAATTATTATTATTAGGGCCCGAGCACCGACCGAAGGCTGGGTGATGGCCCTATTGAAACTGCTCCGTTTATTATTATTACGGTCTGAGCGACGACAAAGTTGTCCGTAGGACCCTATTGTAATCGCACTGTTTATTATTAGGGCCCGAGCACTGGGCCGGACAAAGGCCCTATTGAAAGTGAAGGAATTATTAGGGCCCGAGCGACGACAAAGTCGTCCGAGGACCTTATTGAAATCGCGCTGTTTATTATTATTATTATTAGGGCCCGAGCGACGACGAAGTCGTCCATAGGACCCTATTGTAATCGCGTTGTTTATTAGGGCCCGAGCGACGATGAAGTCGTCCGTAGGACCCTATTGTAATCGTGCTGTTTATTATTAGGGCCCGAGCAGGAGACCTGCGAGGTCCCTATTGTTTTTCGAATGATTATTAGGGCCCGAGCAGGAGACCTGCGAGGTCCCTATTGTTTTTCGAATGATTATTAGGACCCGAGCAGGTCACAGACCTGCGAGGTCCCTATTTTTTTTCTCCTCATTATTTTTATTTATTTATTTTTTTCCTTCCGCCAAAATGATCGCATTTTTCACTGCCTGAACATACCCCAAAACTCAACAAACTTGGAATATAAGTCACACCTGGCGAAAAATTTTATAATCTATTGTCGTCCTGAATTTCCACCACTAGGTGGTGCTATTATTAAGGAAAGTGCGTTTTGGCTCATAACTTCAATTCAATTTCAATTCAATTCAATTCAATTCAATTTTATTTATAAAGCCCAATATCACAAATCACAATTTGCCTCACAGGGCTTTACAGCATACGACATCCCTCTGTCCTTAAGACCCTCACAGCGGATAAGGAAAAACTCCCCAAAAAAAACCCCTTTAACGGGGAAAAAAAAAACGGTAGAAACCTCAGGAAGAGCAACTGAGGAGGGATCCCTCTTCCAGGACGGACAGACGTGCAATAGATGTCGTACAGAACAGATCAGCATAATAAATTAACAGTAATCCATATGACACAATGAGACAGAGAGAGAGAGAGAGAGAGAGAGAGAGAGAGATGCAGGTAATGACAGTAGCTTACAACAACATTAATGAAAGTAATAATATTATAGTTATAGTTCTGGCTACTGTGGTACAATATGTTGAAAGTACGTATTAGTATCAGACAGTATACTTGTGTGACAATAGTCATATGTGTATAATAACAGTAGAAGTATGACTAATGACTAATGATGGCAGCAGCAGCAGGAGGCATCTGGCAGGACCACGGCAGCAGCACAACCACACACGTCACACTGTCCAGGCACCGCTGCGGTATGAGTTATTCTGAGAGACAGTGGAGCACAAAGGCTCCGGAGAAGAAGCCGAGTTAGTGACATCCAGAATGGCCGAGTTAGCAAGATGCAGTAATAGGATGAGAGAGAGAGAGAGAGAGAGAGAGACTTCCATATACTTTGTCGCACATTCAAAAACCGTATATACGCGTTCAGTGAATTGTGCTGAATCTTGTGGTATAGGCCACTCCCATTTGTGCCTACCGTTTTTTCCCGCAAATTCGCAAAATGTTGCAAACCTACTTTTTCGAACTCCTCCCAGGCAATTTCACCAATTGGCATGAAACTTTGCACACAGCATCTGTGGACCCTCCCGACAAAAAGTTATTAAAAGAATTTCGATATTCCAAACAATACTCAAGTTATTAAATATCAACTTTCTGCAGATTTCGTTCTAAACAGGAAGTGCTGCATATCTCCACATTGGTGTATCCGAATGACATGACCACTTCCCCATGAGCCCCTGAGGCTCTGTGCAAAGTTTCGGGTGATGACCACGAGGTGGCGCTCTTTAAATTGAAGTATTTTATATCTCAACATTGGTTGGTCGGATTAACACAAAACTTGGTATAATTATTGTCAATGCCCTCCTGAGGATATCTGACGAAGGACTTACCGATCCGCCACTAGGTGGCGCTCTGGTGGCCGTCTAATTTAATATTTGGCACTGTGCCAACACCATAACACTCATGGAGATAAAATTGATAGGGGTGGTATATACTGGCCCCTGTAACTCACACACCAAAAATGACTAGCAGGTGGTGCTGTTTTCAATGCAAAAGTGTTTTTGGCTAATAACTCCCACATAATATGTCGCACATTGTTAAACCTTCTCTTTACGTGTTCTCTTCCACTGAATTGTGTGGTGTAAGCCACGCCCACTTTCGTGGTAACTTTCCATTCGCTAAATCACGACAAATGAAAAACATACTTTTTCGAACTCCTCCTAGGCGATTTGACCGATTTGCA